ACACAGGCAATTCGTTTGAAAGAGGGCAGAACTTTCTACCCAAATGTCTGTGTACACAGACGGTGTACACTTTGGGGTACAAATTGGGGTACCCCAAGCAGCTCTCTTGTCACTATCACCTATCAATTTCTCGGTTTCTCCCTATATTTCCATTCGAACCAACAACAATCTCCAAACAGCTCCGTCTCCGCCTTATTCGGTTAAACAGCTCCGGCCCCGTGGTTCACCAACTGAAAAATTCCCAGATTTTGATGAGTCGCCGCTGGCCTCGGAAAATCTCGCAGATAGTCGCCGCCGCCCTCGGACAACTCTTGCATAAGTGGAGAACCACGGCCATTGAAGTTGACCAAATCAAATGAGTCACTGCCGCCCTAAGACACCCTCATAGATGACTCGCCACCACCGTCAGGGATGGTGCAGAGGCTGCGGTTGGAGTACTACGGGGTGCCACTATTTCACGTAATCACTTATAAGAAGGCCACACAGTGCACATTTGTCTGATATTTTAGGGGTGGGATTTTGGAACCGGGAACCGTGGAACCGAACCGTTAACAACATCTAGGAACCGAACCGTTAACAATTAATGCCTCATTTGTAGGAACCGAACCGAAACGGGTTATAACGGTTCGGTTCCCGGTTCCTATAAAAATATGTGCATGGAACCGTTAAGGAACCGATATTTAAAAAAATAAAAAAATAAAATAATATTAGTAGTAGTAATAACAATAATAATAATATAGCAATAATAACCACCACCACAACAACAATAATAATAAACCAATATAAGATATTTAACTAACAATTCTAATTTAATCAATGGAAAAGAAATAATAAATATTGTACATGAGGTTAATATAATACATTAAACTCCTTTCTACAAATCAAGTTTTGTTCCATCACATAAATTGTATAAATATAAAATAACTCAAATAACTTGTAGTTGATTGCACATATTTTACTTTACTATTTTCATGATATTTCTAATTATTAGATTCATTATGAATCAATAGAATGTAATAATGTTTTTTATATCTATACATGCAAACTCAATGTCTTTTTTTATGTTTTGAAAGACTTGAAGTAGGCGTCCTATTCTTGCTACTATGATGACGAGTAACCTTCATCGCTCCGACACTACAACGATTTTTAATGTTTGATTTACTACATGAAAATTCAAACCACTTTTGTTCTATTAAGTGTTCAAAGTTCATTAGTTAAGTTTGAGCTTTGATGTTTGAAGTGATTAGAGCTTCAAATAAAATGTTAATACTCGTGTTTTGAATTTTCGACGTGTTTAAAATTATGTGTTAATTCTTAGACGAGAAAAAATTATTCTAGGAACCGGTAAAAGGAAGAACCGAACCGTTTACTACCGGTTCGTTTCCATAACGGTTCTTGATTTTTTATATAGGAACCGAACCGATTTCATTAGTTAAAATTTTTATAACGGTTCCACTCATTTTGAGTAAGAACCGAACCGGTCCCAGCCCTAGATATTATTGTAGTTGTTGTGTAAATTTTATTTTCTCTGCTTTTTTATTTGTCCTCTATGTCTACATCATATGAAGAAGGGCAAAATAGGAAAGTAACTATCAACTTCTATTTTTTCTTAATCCTTGTGCCAGTTAACATTTGCAATTCTATTCGGGACAAAGGGAGTATCACTCCCTCCATCCCAATTTGAAGGTACCAAAACTTTTGGGCACAAAAATTAAGAAAATGGGTTAAAAAGACACATATAACCTTAATGAAGCTACCTTTATTCTTTTTTTTTGTTTTTGTTTACGGTGGGTAACTTTAAAAAGCAAAGTGGCTTTAAGAATGATTTCATTACTATTCATTGAGTGTACTTGAACATCACATCCGCATTCCACACGACTCAATACACTACAATTGTAGCTTCCCTCCTAAGTCCTAAGCATCCTTCGTAGAAGCCAAAAAAAGAAGGAAATGAAAAATAAAACATCTAAAATGACAACCTGAAAATGACAACCTAAAAATACAAGTTCATCCCTATAAATACAGCACCATTGAGACATTAAAGACTTCATCTACTTTCAGCTACCACCATAAATGGATGTCTTAAGCTCTGAGTTTTCCCCATCACCTCCTAACTCTCCTCCACATGCAACTGCCAGTCAACTTGGCGCCTGCACCTGCACAAAGATCAAGACTTACAAATAAAGAAAGAGAACAAATCAAGGAATATTTTCTAAAGAATGTGGATGGCTTTGGGGGACTTCAGCATGGTGTAATCAATAAAGGTGCAGAAACTTTTAACGTGTCCAGAAAAGCTATGTTTAGAATATGGCATACTGTGAAGCAGCATTTACGGAGTGGACAACCCATAGATGTAAGACACAAGCTCACTAGAAATGTTGGCAGAAAAAGGGTAAGTGTGCCCCTTCAAAGTTTCAAAGTCAACCTCTCATGCCCTAAAAATAACTAGAAGCACATTACACATAATGAAGCAGAGAGGTGAAGTTAAAGCACATACAAGCACCATAAAGCCATTTCTAACAGAACAAAACAAAAGAACAAGGTGTGAGTTCTGCATTTATCACTTAATTGAGTTAATTCCAGATTCCTTAGCACACACTCCCACCTTTCAAGGGTTTGAAAAATTTATCCACATTGATGAGAAGTGGTTTAACTTAACCAGGATTATGACAAGAAGGTACATTCATGAGGGAGAGACCCCCCCCCCCGGATAGGCATTGTAAATCTAAAAGGTTTATAACGAAGGTGATGTTTCTGTGTGTTGTGGGCAAACCAATTTTGGGTAGTCAGGAGGAAGTCATATGGAATGGCAAAATAGGGATATGGCCATTTGTGGAGAAGGTGGAAGCATCAAGAAACAGTAAGAATAGGCCAAGACATACAATGCAAACAAAGCCAATCTTATCAGTTACAAAAAAAAAGTACAGGGAAATGCTACTGACTCAACTCCTTCCAGCCATCAAAGCAAAGTGGCCAGTAGCATTAGACAGGGAAGTAATCATCCACACATCCAGCAAGTGAGGATGGGTGTAATATAAGGCTATCAATGCAGCCACTTAACAGTCCAGACATGAATGTCCTAGACTTGGGGTTTTTCAATTCCATACAATCTTTGCAGTATCAAACATGCATTCACAAGGTTATCCCAAAAAACACTAAATCATGTTTGGCTAACACTTCAACTCACAACGGCAGAAGTTATCAAGGTGAAGGGGGGAGGAAATAACTACACCCTTCAGCACATTGGAAAGCAAAGATGGGAAAGACAAGGTAATCTTCCTACCAACATTGTAATGGACAAACAGATAGTACAAGATGCAATCAACCATCTCAACGGAGCAGCAGAAACAATCTAGACTCAGTTGCACAATTTTTGTATAAGTAAGTGAAATGACTCCCAGTTAACAAAATTATCATCATAGAGATGTTAGAATGCATCATCCATCTCCTTGATAAGTTGGTTATCTTCATGGAGTGTATTCACAATTAGTGGTTATCTACTCACTTTTTGCCCATCTTTTTTATTGAGTAGTTTGCCAATATATGTAATTGTAACTATTTCAACTTTATTTGTAATCTCAGATGTTTCATGTTTTATGACTCACAACATCAATGATCACAAGCATTCTTAAAAGCATCACAAGCATTCTTAAAAGCACATAGAATTTCACAAGCTCACATATAATCTTATAAGCATCAAAATCAGAACAAGGCTCTTTAATTTGCACATTCAGTTAGTACATGGGTGGCCATCAAGTCATCATATTACCTCCTACATGTACATAACCACATTCACACACCTAGGCATAGTCATCACAGTCAAATGAATCAAGCACATCCTCACATAATTGTTCAGAGGCTCACATACAAGTTCACAGGCTCACATACAAGTTCACAGGCTCACATATAGTCTTATAAGCATAAAAATCATAACAAAGCATGTTTAGTGTGCACATTCATAGTACATGGGTGGCCATCAAATCATCATATTACCTCCTACATGTACATAACCACATTCACACACCTAGGCATAGTAATCAAATAAATCAAACACAGCCTCACATAATTGTTCACAGGATCATATACAATCCGACACTTAATTACCAAGCATCTCTAAAATTACACCACAATTAGCATCATTAGTCAAGCCCAAATGCAAATACTAGCAAAATACGGAGTAATAAGCGAAGAAAGAGGTTAGATATACAGACAGTGGAGGAGGCAAGGAAATCACATCGGCTAGAATACAACAAGCATGGTAGAATTAGCTCAACCCATTTGTCTCCACCCGCCCTGTGTTTCGCTCCACTCCACAACCTAGGGTTTCTTTAATCGCCGCATGCAACATTCTTTACATCCTGAGATGTGTATTGTATCCCCTCAATCTTACTCTGAAACGAATATTTCCAGAAAGAGCAAGGCATCGGGTAAAGGATCCACACATTGAGGAGCGGGACAAGGCATCGAGTAAAGGATCCACACATTGGATCCACACATTCCAGAAATATGTCTTTAATGGTGGCATATGTATTGTTGACGACGAAGAGGAATGAGGGGATACAGAGGGACAGAAATGAACAAAGGGACGAAGGCTACAAAGAGGTGAGATACGAAGGCAACAGAGAGTTAAGAGACGGGGATGAGCATCTAGAATACTCCATACTTCGTAATCAGGTATGAGGGAGGAGGTAAATGGGATAAGGTTAAGTAGGGTATTAGGATATTAAATGAAGGATATATTTGTCCTTTGACAATTAAAACCTTTCCAAATAAGGAAATGGTACCATCATTTTGGGACATCCCAAAAAGGAAATAAGATATCATCAAATTGGCCTCAAGTACAACAATACTTCCATAAACACATGAATAGAACATACCAAATAATTTCTCAGTTGATTAACCAATATTCTCCAAAAAAATATCTATGTGCCCATTATGAAATGCTAGAATTCATATTCTTGAGATCATCTATACTTTCTCAGAGTAAGATACAATTCACATACCAATCTTATATTATATCATCAATATTCCATTTTCTATGATCATTGATCGACGCTATTTTATAACCTTATATTATGTCACATAAATTCTCCCTTAATTAGTGATCACACAAGTATATGGAAACACAATTAATCATTAATCATATTAATGCATATATGCTAACAGCTACATCAACCATACTCAAACTTTAAGAATCCTCCTCCAGGCATGCATGCAATGAATTCCCTCAAAGCTATAGCAATCCTCACTCTCTAAAGAGTCAGGCCGGGGATAACACCTACTATAGCTAAGTGAGCTTAAAATCTCAGGATTATTAGTTACAACACTGGCTGGACTCATGCAGGATTTTTAGTTAGAACACTGGCTAGACTCATGCATCCAATCAAAACCCTGCTCTATGTATTTTCGTGCCATCGCAATGCAACTGGCAATGGGAACGGGTTTTTTCATCACTTCTACCCTACAGGCCTTCCATCCATAAGAGGCAACTGCTTAACAAGGCTCCAAGCCAGCCAACCATGTACGTAGAGCAGTAACCAGAATAAAAACAAGATGGTGGAAACACATCTTCTAGCCACACAGAAAGAAATGACAGCTCGCCTGTGGGTGGAAAAACCGGTGCTTGGGCAAAAACTTCTGGATACAGTCCAAACAACGGTTCTCTAAACAGAAGGTCTCTTCATAATCACAGTTGCTCAAGCAGCACCCACAGCTTTTACACCGGGAGTTGCAGAAAGTGCAAGCCCTGCACATCTGCGTGCCCTGGTGGGTGGTCCCTTGGCAGCTCTCTGCAGGGCAATCATACACTAGCCTTAGTTGCTGGCACTTCGGGCACATCTCAATGTCAATGGCCCAGTCATCATCAACAGACAGATACAACTGCCCCCCTTGATAAAATCGCGGATTGTGGTGCACACTTGGAGGTTGGGTGGTGTTTTCCATCACGCCTAAAAGCAGCTTCAAGTCTTCATAGTGTAGGTTTGTTATGCCGAACAGTCCACCAATTCTTAGACACTTTATCCATGTGTCCCGCTTGTTGAAGACTTTTAAGTTAGACACCAGTTCTTCAATACTAAGCTTCATGCATCCCGCTACACTTAGCTGCAAGGGATAAAATGTGTTAGTGCAGGAAAACAGTGTTTATCCCACAAAATGAATCACTTTATTAAGCGCTTAAAATCTACAAAAGACTGCTATTTTCCGTTTAAGATTAAACTACTAGTAATTATAAAATTAACCTTTCCCAGTACAGCCACATAAAAAAATGGCACACCAAAAGTAGCACTCTTACTGCTAATCACATTCAATGCACGCATACTCCTATTTTAGGGTCATCACTAATTTTCTAAAAAGTTGACAAGTGACAAGCATACCTCTATTAGTATCTAGAATCAACAAGGAAAAGTGAAATAAACACATGAGCAAGGTTTAAAAGGAGGTTCGGGTATCAAGGCGGTTTGTTCCTAAGACGCGAGGCGTAAGCCTTGAGGCATATCGAGACGTAAGCCTCAAAATATATAGACATAAAACTTAAAATAGTTAAACTAGTAACAAACAACTAAAGAAGTAAAGGATATATTCATATGAGCTAATACCGGTAAGTGTGAAGTCCAAAACGTGTGAATCACAAGCACATATGAGCTAATACTGGTAAGTCATTAGAATTCAAACACACAAACAAAAACATCACACACAAACAAACATATCACACACAGAAACATCACACAAACTGAAAGATGAATAGAAAGTATACGTCAACAACTTAGGGTTTAAATGAATAAGACTTGTTAGGGTTTAAATGAAATAAGACTTGTTAGGGTTTAAATGAAATAAGACTTGTTAGGGTTTAGTGTGGCCACATGTTTAATTAATGGACTTCTATCTAAAAAGTACTCTGACCTTTTATTAAATGAAATGCCTTGGGCCTTTTTAAGTTACTGGACATTAAAAACAGAGAAACAAAGGAAAAGCGACTCAAAAATGCCTCAGGGCGCACGCCTCAACTTTTGAGGCGTAAGCCTCTTAACCTGCAAAAAAAAACCTAAGCCCTGATACCCAATATGTACGCCTCACCTTGAGGCACGCCTCAAACCCCGCCTCTTAAGCGCCTTTTTAAACCATGCTCGCGAGAACAACTTGGGCAATACAATGTTTCACTTTATTGGTTGGTAAACGGCCAATTATTTTTTAACAAAGTGCATTTAGAGTTCACGGACTGTCATTTGAGAATGGTAGCACACTTCTAGTTTTTTTGCAGCTATATAATTAATGAGTAGTATAACAAATACATTGTGCACTAAATTGAAATTGTGATTAAGCAAATAAACAATAAAGAATGCTGAAAGACAGAACTTTGAAGTTTGAAGCCAATCATTAACTATCTCACATTGTCACATACTCATATACTCTCATCATCAACAATAACAACATCCAAGTCTTAATCCCAATAGATTTTGGGGTCGGCTAATGAATTGATTCATGATATCGATGCCAAAAAGAGAAGACAAACAAGAAGAAAAATAAAAGGAAAAAAAGTAAGATAAAACGGATAAGATAAAGATACATAAATATAAAATAAAAATAGCATAAGAATATAAGAAAGATAAAAGATAAAAAGATAAAAGTGCATAAAAAGCTAGAAGATAAAAAACATAACAACATAAAAAGATAAAGAAGATAAATGATTATGCAAAGCACTGAGATGAAAAAGCATAAAAGTAAGAAAATGACATAACATCATATATGCGCAGCGACTTACCTTTGTCAGTCTTTTATTCCTTTCAAGAACATTCTTCAAACCACCATCCGTGATCTTCAAACACTCCACAAGACTCAAACAACAAAGCTGTCCCTTGGCCCTGTTTGCCAACTGTAATAAAGCTTCATCTGTAATCTTATCACTCAAAGGATGATCTATCTTTATATTTCTCCATATGAGCGGATCGTTTTGCACTACACAGCATAAAGATCTGCAAACTTGCTCCATAGAAAGAAGGTCATCAACGCCTAAATAAGAGAGAGCAAGAAACAAAGCATCTGGGGGATCATCAAATCCTTCGCCCTCAAAAACTGTCCCAGAGAACGCCCCCCGATTCTTGAAGGACTCACCGTTGCCGTCTTTGAAAATCCAATATTTTTCGTAACTGAAATCCATTATCTCCTCCACATTACAGTCCAAAAATAGGTGGCCAGAAAATAACTGATTATCTACTTGCCCCACTCCAATAAACCCTAAGTCCCTCTCGATATCCTCAATCCAACCAGTTATGCTGGAGAGTTCAGTCACAGTTGTGTCAATGTCCATTTCAAACGGATCATGGGGCAACAGATCAGCAACATCGCCTGGCGCCTTCTGGATTAACTTCCCCTTTCCACAATCGGATCCCCGTGATCTGGTCAAGTAATCTAGATTTTTATCCGGGCAATCTTCCAAGAAAGCCATGTTCTCAATCTTGATACCGATTTCTCCTCGATGCAAAGCCATCAGGGAAATCCAATCAAAATGTAGCCGACCATATCAGAAACATGGCCATGGCAAGAAATCCTAAATAGCTACATTTGGAGGAATCTTAAAATTCACAACAATTAACACGCAGCCGCGATAATAACCCAAAGAATCTGAACACCCGCATTCTACAAGAAGAGGATATAGCACTTCCAATTCTAGAATGCATAGACAAAAGCACAGCTTGTCGCAAACCCCCAAAATCTAACATCTAACAACCAACCCACTAGTAAAACTCGCGCACGCAGATAAAAAAACGGAAAAAAGAAGCGACAAAAAACAGTTGTTATGCTCTGGATGAATACGGACCTAGCAGGATGAAACACAACAATAAAGAAAGGAAGGGGCAAGAAAAAGATTTAGGATTGATATAGAAGAAAAAGAAAAAAAGAAATGGGTGGTGATGATGATGATGATTAAGAATCTAGAGTGACCAGAACCTTTGACCAATTTCTCATGTATATATACAAAAAAAACGACACACACGCAGCAGGAGAAGAGAAAGGTTACCCTGGAAGAGAAATAGAAGAGCTTGGCGAGGAAGGGGAATTGCTCTAATTGTAGTGGATGAGAGAGAAATTGAAAACAAATTATTTTTTAGGGGTGGGACTTTGTAACCTAACCGTGAAAACAAGTACGGGGAACTTTTTTTTATAGAATTCGCCTTATATTATTAATAATCAATAATTTTTCACAGTATGAGTCAAAAGACAGAAAGAAATCTAACAACCGTTATCCCTCAAATCAGATTCGGAATTAATTACTGCAACAATAAAATTCGCTGATCCATTATTGGGAAACTCAAAGCCAAAAACGGTCACCATATTTCCCTCAACCCCCATATCCAAAACCAATGTCTTACAAACTGGAAAGTAAACAAAGAAACAAACATCCAAATAAAAACAACAATCAATATAGTAGTAAACAAAGCAAAATAAAAAACACTTCTGTCGCAGCCATAGCACCCAAGATATCCCTTTGACTGACGACCTCCATCCTGCAACCTGCATCTTCGGCGGGCTTATGGACCAAAGCCCGCCTCCTCCCCGTTTTTTGGTCCGTCCAAAGCCATGGTGTCCTCCACTTGCTCCTTCTCTGTCTGAGTCTCCCATATCTTCCTCCTCTTAGAAACCTCTTCCTTTGGCTCCTCCCCACCTTGTGTGAAGCTTTGTACTGATTCAGTCATTGATACTTTCTCCTTTTCTGCTATCTTTCCATCTGCCTTGGATTCCCCTGGGCCCCTACCTGTTCTGTCAGAGCTCGATGAACCCTCTAAGAGCCAACTCTGCCCTCCTGTCGGGCTCGTCTTCACCCCACTACCTGCTCTTAATTGGGGTCCATATCTTTTTTCTAAAACTAAGCCTTCTTCATAATTTAGGGGACAAAATTATCCGAATGTCCAATCACTCCACAGATAAAGCAAAAGTTGGGCAATCGTTCATATTTAAAATCTACCCAAAAACTTTTACCATCTTTTTTCAGATTTGTCACCTTCTTCAGCGGTTTATCCACCTTCATAAGAATCCTAACTCTCATATATGGCTCTAATTTATCCTTTTTCTGGTTATCATCATATCTAATAAACTCACCTATAAAATTTCCCACACGCCTGACAGTACCCAGATTAATAAGACTATGTGGAACATTATGAACCTGGACCCAAAACTCAGACTCATTTAAAATGATTTTGTGTGGAATATCATCAGGCATAACTTCTTTTAACATTACCAGACTACGTTCAAACTGCCAAGGGCCTCCATCGAGCACACGCTTCATATCAAAACGATGATTAAACGAAAATAGGTACCTTTTTTCAGCGATATCCTTCACCGTCATACCTTTCCCTGGCCGCCAAAGCGAAAACATCGTCTCTTTGAGATCCGGAAATTTGACCTTGCGGTCGGTAAGGACTTGGCCGATCACAGGGAAGCCAATCACCGCCTCCTCCACCGGACTGCTCTCAACCTCCCCTTCATCAAGATTCAGTTCTTCTTCGTCATCCTCGATCGCCATCTGCTTATACCGGTCAACGACGCTATCCATAAACCTTCGGTAACCCCTTGCCTCAACCGCTTATTCTGATAACAAGAACACCGCTCTGCACTCTTCGTTCCTCCCTAAAACTTCTCGGACTACCTGGATATAAAACCACGCCCGCCGCCCTCTTCCCCAATCCAAACCCTCCACCCAGCACCTTCTTAATCACCACCTAGAACCGCCCAAAGCAACCAAAAAAAACTCACCCTTCGAATACACGAAGGCGGACAAACCAACGCTAAGGGTTATCGGCCGATAACCCTAGAGAGAGAGAGAATTACTTTTAAGTATCATGCACCTTAAAACACTTAAAATTTTAGAAAGTCGGAACCAAACCTTTAAAAACTGGTTCAGTTCCTACACATGAATTATAAATTGTTAACAGTTCGATTCCTATTCTTTGTTAACGGTTCGTTTCTGGTTCCTACAAAAATGTGTCTACGGAACCATTAAGGAACCGTTAAAAAAAATGAAAGTGTAACTAGTAATAATAATAATAATAATAATAATAATAATAATAATAATAATAATAATAATAATAATAATAATAATAATAATAATAATAATAATAATAATAATAATAATAATAATAATAATAATAATAATAATAATAATAATAATAATAATAATAATAATAATAATAATAATAATAATAATAATAATAATAATAATAATAACAATAACAATAACAATAACTATTATAATAGAAATAATAATAGTAATATAATCGATGATACTTAGTCACACAACAATTTAAATTTAATTTATGGAAATGATGAGGATGAATACACTAACCTCGTTTGTTACAAATCATATTCTGTTCCATTACAGAAATTTCATAATCATAAAAGTAACCCTAATAAATTCGTGTTGGTTCGATATATTTTTTCTTTATAATATTCAAGGTGATTGTATGTGTGAGATTTAGTATAAATAATGCTCCTAGAATTTGAAATGTAATGATGTTTATATTTGTACTTGCGCATTTAATATGTTTTTTAAAATTTTGAAGAACTTGAACTAGACGTCTTATTCTACTATGATGACCCAATTTTTATTGACAACGATTTTTCATATTTTATTTACAAACAAAATTAAAAGAATTATTTCTTTATATTAATTAAGTTTGGACTTGATACTTGAAGTGATAAGAGCTTCAAAAAGTACTTATTGCTTGTGCTTTGAATTTTTGACGTTTTTCCATGTAGAAAGTAAGTTGCATGTGTTAATTTTTTTATGGAAAAAATTTATGTTTAGGAACCGATAGTATTCTCATGCTAAAAGAGATGATAAATTGCATAGATCATAAAAGTAGAGGGCACTACATTCTTTTCAAATTTGACATGTTAAAAGCTTTTGATAGAGTTGCTTGGGGCTTTATTTATGACGTGCTACATGCTTTTGGCTTTCACCCTCATTTCATAAACCTCATAAAAAACAATCTTGAGAGCACTTGGTTCTCCGTTTTAATTAATGGTCAGCCAAATGGTTTTTTCAAACCTAGTAGGGGAGTCAAATAGGGAGATCCCCTTTCCCCTTTACTCTTTATTCTTGTCTCTAAAGTTTTCTCCAGGCAATGCAACAAACTGTTCAAAGAAGGTAAATGCATTCCTTTTCATATTTATCATGCTCAGCCTATCATTTCTCATCTTAGTTATGCTGATGACCTTGTCATTTTTTCTAATGCGGGTAAAAGATCTCTCAGTGCTTTGGATGGTTGTATCAAAGACTATGAAAAGTTTTCTGGTCAAAAAATTAATACCAACAAAAGTTTTTACATTACTAGTAAACATGCCCCTACTGCTACACTTAAAAACGTGGAAAAATTTCTTGGTATCCAGAAAGGTTCTTTCCCTTTCACTTACCTTGGTGCTAATATTTTTCAAGGAAGACCTAAGATCTGCCACTTTGAGAGTATTATTTTTAATATTGACAATAAACTGGCTGGTTGGAAAAACAAATTTCTTAATCCTGGGGGTCGCATTACTCTTATTAAATCTGTCCTCACCACTCTTCCCCTTTATCACATGGCGAGTGCTATTATCCCGAAGACTGTTCTTCAAACTATTGAGCAAAAGTGTTCCAGATTTCTATGGTATAATGCTGATTTTGAAAAGCGGCAGATCTGGAGAAAATGGAACAGGATCACTTATCCCGTTAAAGAAAACGGTTTAGGTTTTAGAGATCTTCTCACTATTCAAAAATGTTTCTATCTGAAATGTTTATAGAAAGCCACTCATAAATTTGGCCTTTGGGGGCTTTGGTTTTCTAAATTGAAAAATCCCAACAAATCCTACATGTGGAAAGGTTTGAATAATGTTAAGCATGATTTTGATACTCTTACTACTTTGGTGATTTGTAATGGCAATTCCTCCTTCTGGGATTCTAACTGGTCAGAATTTGGCAGGCTTAGGGAACATTTGAACACCGAAGACATTCTACATCCCCAGATGACTATCAAGGAAGCCCATTTCTCCTCTACCGAGGACACCACTGTTTGGACCCTTACTCCCACGGGATCCTACTCCTTTAGGAGTGCCTATGAGGAAATCAG